AAATTTTGACGTTCGTGTTCATTGCAGTTGACTCTATCGGGTTTGCTCAACTTCATGGATGGACTATGGTCGAATTGTGGAGACGAAAGAATCATAATTTTTACAACAAACCACAAGGAGAAGATCGATCCTGCCCTGTTGCGTCCTGGCCGGATGGACATGCACATTAACATGTCTTACTGCACACCTGCTGGATTCCACGTCCTGGCATCGAATTATTTGGCAATCGATGATAATCCGAGGCTGTTTCCCGAGATAAAAGGCCTAATGCAGGAAGTTCAAGTAACGCCCGCTGAAATTGCAGAGCACTTGATGCGAAATGAGAATGCTGAACTAGCACTTGAAGGTGTGATTGATTTGCTAAAAAGGAAAAAGGCTGAAGCTGATGAGGAGAAAGATAAGGAGAAAAGCCGGGAGACAAATGAAGTTCAAGAAGAGGTTAAAATGGCTAAAAGTGAGAAAATTCTAAAATCCTTGAAAAGCTTCAGAAAAAAATCGAGTAGAGGAAAGAGCAAAAGAGTGTGACATGACAAAATATTAGCCCTCGTTTGGGCACCATTATTTGTGGAAAAAATGCGTTCTCTCACATCACATGGCCAATCATGTGAAAGCTAGTCCAAATGGTGTCTACACGTATGTGGTCAACTTGCAATTTTACCCCTATCTTGAATTGTTAGTACCTTCTTTTCCAAGTTCACTTTGACATATTGTTGTCAATTTGGTGTAGTTTTGTATTATGTAACTGTTAAAAATTGTCAAAAATGAGATGAAAATGAGCTCCTACAGGGGCGTATTGATAATAATTGATGATGAAGAGAATTTTGTGAATAAATATTGGAAAGACTTGTAGACAAAGGTGAAGTGTTAAATAATTGTCTTGTTGATGCTTGAAATACGCACACGGTCATTGGGAAGCTTATGGGCGAGAATAGTAAAATAGAGCACAGCTTAAAATTAGTGACATACTTCACTTTTGTTGTCGTTGCATATTATTAAGGGAGTATACACGACAATCATGATATATGTACAAAATTTTTTTACATGAAATTTTGACACGCTTTATTGAATACACAAAGCTCTTTCCTTAGCTTCGAGCCTTCAAGTTGTTCATTAGCCTATATGATGTCCTTCAAAGCCTCAATTAGCTCAAATGCATGTCAATTGCTTTATTGATGGTTTGACAGAACACGAGTATGTGTAAACTTACGATGATTTGGACTGTTAGTAATAGATCTCTTTGTTAATTTTATGTTCTTCGAGTAGTATATTGTGAACGACATTATGAGTTGTGATTCCACTAATCTAAAATCCCACGATCATAAAAGTTGTCCCAAGTTGTAGACTTGATTGTTCGAGTATAGTGAGACATAATTTGTGACGTGATCAAAATATATCATTTGCTTTAGATACATAAAGTTGGATGTCTTATATTGATAAGATTGCATTGTTTTTATTAAGATTTGTCTAGATCTTGAGAATAAAAACAAACGTGTTTGGTGCACATAACATGATCGCGTAGATTACTTGTTTGTGATAGCTAAAAATGAGACTGTAATGGATCATTTAACGAGTTACTTAAATCCTAAGTGAGTAATATACGTTTGGTTGCTAGTTCAAGTTCTTTGACGTGCCAATAAGTAAAGTCTTAACTTGATGCTGGATCTCGGTACTTTGGGAATCAGGGAAGAAACCATTAGAGATCATATACATGCAATAGAGAAATCGGTTAATCATTACGATTAGACAATCTCACTCCGATATATTCTCTATAGGCATTTGAACTTTAACTCAGTAATTTGGCAATGGGATCGTTGGACTACATTGTGAGCTATTTACAATAGATTTGTTTTATGAAAATGGAACTCGGGGGGATATACATGTGGGAAGGGCAAAATTATCATTTTATTGGTTTGACATGTTGACGATTAAATGGGGGTTGACTGGTGAAATGACAATCGAAGGATATTGTTATTGCACCATGATTTTTTTTCCATAATTGCCACTCGACTTGAGAGTGTAATTTTGACTCTTTGTTAGAATGAGTTGAGACTAATAGATGTATCTTAATTGGTCAAGAGTTGATGCAATTAGAAAAATCTATTGGAGCTTGAGTTTTGTGAGTCCTATTAGATCCCTCTCTTGGCTCTAACATAGGTTTTAAACTTAATTGAACTATTATAATAAATTTCAAGGTGAATCGTGCAATTATGAAACCCTAATTGTGTATTGTAAATATGTCCTTTTGTAGGGGCATTTCTCAAGATATTAGGGGTATGCCACACTCTCATTTTCCAAAATGGAGGCACCTAAAGTAGAGTGCAAGAGTGAAGATCTAAGGGATGAAGCTTTGGATAGAAAGGTGGAAGGCCATTAAAATCTTTTCTAAGATTGTGATATCACCCTATGTGTGAAGATTTAAAAATATAATTCAATAACCTCAAATGACATCTAAAATCTAAAATCTATCTTAGTTTAATCTTCAAAGAGAAATCAAATTCCTCTAGTGATGAAATCTAAAAACCAACAAATGGTTCATAGTCAATAGCCACAGAGATCCTTGAGTATGATTAGTTTTTCAAATAATAGTGTAATATGCATTTTTTATTGGTGGTATTAGGTTATTTGTTTGACATGCTTAATAGTTTTTATGCTTAAAGTAGATATTTACATAATCTTTTGGCTCTAGAATATCTCCTTCTCATTCTTGTAATTTGATTTATTGATTGCAAAATCTCTAGATTATTGTAAGCCACAAGGTACTAAGGTTTTATATATTCTTTTCAAAGTTTTCTACACTTTTGTATCAAGAGAAGAAGATGAAATTTTGAGCTCCAAACATCGTCGTTGTTGCTGATTTTTCATGGGAAACTTGATGTTTTGAGGATGAGAAAATTGTGATTTGGAGATATGTAGCCTTTGTTTGACATCCTTTTTTTTTTTCCCCATATTTTTCTCTTTCTTCATTTCAACCACACAGTGTATCAATAAAATAATATTACACATAAACTCAAAAATTCTCCTTACTTCTTAACCATATATTTTTCCATCAATCACTATTCCAAATCAAATTCTTCCATAAAATGGGTGTCAACCAAGGGCTTATTGAAAGCTTGGGATGAATGAGAAGTGGAACAAACAAGGGCAAAGAAATCATGGCGGAACCACCAAGGAGGCAGTGATGATCGGAGCAGTGTATCCGAAAGCAGCATACTCGCCTCATGTAAGGTATTCCCATCCACAATAGTCGCAATTGTTGTTACTTGAGGCTTCAGCTACTTAATGCAGTCGTCCCTTTAGTGTAACATCGTTGCTATCGCGACTTGCAATAGCCGTCTGCTGCTATGGCTGCCTCTCCAACGACGATAGTGGTGACATCTTTTGGGCTTGTCATTGCCTGTGCATTTGTGTATGGGTGACATTCGGATGGCTAGAGGTGGTGCATGGGGTTGCTAGGGCTTATATAAGGAAAATTTCATTATTAAGACATTAAGTATAACCCATTTCAAATCTAAGAAATAAGGTTTACTTGTTCAAAAATCAGATATTAATTTAAATATATTAGGGTCACAATAATATATAATTTATGGTCACAATTATGTATTAATCACAATTACAAATATCACAGTCACAAATAACAACTTTTATAGAACACAAATGAAATATATTAATTGTCACAAATTAAAAATTTTATGAGTCGTAACTCATTTTATGGTCACAAAATATTAAATTAATTGGTCATAAATTATTTTCAGGCCGCACATTATCAAATTAATGGTCATAGCTTAACAAATTTTTAGGTTACAATTTGTCTATTTCCTTAGTTACGCATTGTTTGTTGGTCACAAACCAATTAATTTATTGGTCACAATCAACAGAACAATTTATGACTACCACCACCTCACCACTTTCTCCAGTAGTACCACTGCAAACACCACTATAATGACGATGATGATGCCAACACCATCCCAATACCACCACGATGGCTGCCAGTGTCAACCACCACCACCACCACCCCCCTCACCCTCACCCTCACCCTCACCAACCACCACCACCACCACCACCACCACCATCTCCTCAAAACCATTACTGTCAACACCATCACCATCATGACCACCACAACCACCATATACACTCTCCACCACATCACACCACTACACTTCCACTACCACTACCACCAACCAAAAAATTCCCAAACCAACCATCATCATCGCCGTCATGACCACTACCAACACTGCCAACGCAATCACCACCAATCCACAACCACAACTACAACCACAGCCACAGCCACCGCCATCTCCATCACACCACAACACACCACACCGCAACTACCAACCCCAATAAAAAATCATCAAACCGCTGAGGTCGCCACCACGATCTCTACAAATCATATAGAAGACCAACCACAAGACCTCCACAAATCCACCACACCACTACCACCACAGCCCTCCACCACCGACTGAAAACATACCCAAAAAACCCACACCAGATCGCGATATTGCAGATCTTGACCACAATATACGGCGAGGATAAATTGGAAAAGGAGCAAGAGGCAAGAGTCAGAGGGCTAAACCAGTGATGATCTCATCTTCGGCGACGTGACAGCCGTCACATGGTTTCACACAAGAAGTAACACCACCCATAACTGCTCTTCGCTCGAGTTGCTCTATAAGTGGCTAGTCACCGTCTCTTTGACCTCGCTTGTCGCCATCATCGTTGCTCAGCCGCAGTGTAGAGAAAGATGACATTTGGAGAGAGATAGAGTCTGATTGTATCGAGAGAGAAAAATGAGATTGTAAAATAATTAGGGTTTGGTAGGGTAGATGATATTGGGGTGGATATGTAAAATAATTTTTATAATATTATTATTAATATTTATAATTTTGATGAAAAAACTTTTAACTCTTAAATATGAATTGAGATCTTGAAAATACTTAGTTCATGTAATTTCCACTTTATATAATTGAGCTCATTTTTAAGGTTTGAAACTTGGGCTAATCTATATGGATAATGACCCTTGTCTAAGAGTCGGATATCGAAATGAGCTCAAATTTTGGACACTTCATGAATTGGACTACAAGGAAATTAAAGAATTATGTTGGAATGTGGCCAATGGACTACTTTAATTCTTGTTGTAATTTAAATTTTTTAGGATAAACCATAAGTGATTATAATCTATTTAATTATTGATTTTATTGCTTTATGGATGAGGAATGAATAGATACTATGGAATATCATGTAGATTAAATAAGATACCACCAGATACACTAAAATTGTATGCATTGGTATTATATAATTTTTTTCATCACTCTAAATTGAATAGAAGTGGTTAAAAATTATCTTCAATAATTTGGCACCATTACAATTGTCTATAATTGACCGATTGATTATTGAAAGAAAAGCCCAACGGTTTAAAATAACAACTGGGAGAGGGTTTATAGGCATATATATAAATCCACGGTATCCTTTGTTATCCCATTTATTATTAAAATATGTATTTTTTAGTATCGAATTACATCAATCTTCTA